GAGCAAGACCCTGATTTTAAAAAAAATGAGGCCTGAAAATCTGGAAACTCTGGGTTGTGCATTAGGTTTATACTGCCTCTGGATGGGGCCAGGCAGGCTGGACACCAGTCTTTTCATTGAAAGTCTTATATGTCTGTAGTTTCTCTGGAAAAGAATCATCTCCTACTCTCCTTGCTGCCTGAAATCCTGAGTGAGAGTCGAGGCACACAGGGCAACGGAGCTGCTGGTCTTGCTGTTTGCACTGCTCCTTGCCACCCACCTCTGGGCATCGTCTCAGAGAGGAGTTAGTCATCATCTGACTGTGGACACTGGGATGGGGAGAGCACAGGTATCCACTGCACTGATTTCAGCCCCAGTGCCTCACATTTCCACTCTTCTCCACCCTCATCCCCACACCCCCTCCCTAAGGCCCAGTGCCTCTGAGCTAAGCTTCCATTATTTTTCTGTCATCTGCTGTTGTCTCCTCTCCCTTGCTCTTTTGTCTTTTTGAGTAATCCCTCTTCTATTCCTCTACTGAAGGAATATGTTTTAGTGTGGAGTTTTGGAAGGGGAGATAAGTTGTTGATGTAGACCAGGGGTAAGCAAACTTTTCTGTAAAGGTCCAGATAATAAATTTTCAGACTTTGAGTCCGCACAGCCTCCATTGCAGCTACTCAGCTCTGCAGCATGGCCAACCCCTGATATACACAGCCCTCCATGTTTAAATGGTGGTTTAGCATGTGCATGCTAGTATTTTTACATGATTTTACCTTGTTTTTATTGTTGAGTATACAGTATTCCCATAAGTTGATGACTGTATTTTATTTCATTCTCCCTTTCTGTTCTGTGGCTATCACAGTTATTAATAATATTTCACTAAAGAACATTACGGTGACAAATTTGTTCATATATTTTTCCTTCTATTGAATTATTTCTTGATGATAGAATTCTAGATACAGATTTCCAAAATGGGTTAAGCAATGTGAATTTTTTATGATTCCTGATGCATACTGGAACCATATGTTTAACGGGGTGTCCTGTTATTACCACCAGAAGCATACAGGTATCTCATTTAAATTACAGCTGCAGCCGGGCTTGGTGGCTCAGACTGTAATCCCATGCTTTGGGAGGCTGAGGTGAGTGAATTGCCTGAGCCCGTGGGTTCATGACCCGCCTGGGCAACTTGGTGAGACCTTATCTCTACAATAAATAAAAAAATTAGCCAGGCATGGTAGCACGCACCTGTAGTTCCAGCTACTTGGAAGGCTGAGGTGGAAGGATCACCAGAGCCCAGCAGATTGAGGCTGCGGTGGCCAGAAGCGTGCCACCCCACTCCAGTTGGGGCAACAGAGTGAGACTCCAACTCAGAATAAATAAATAAATAAATTACAGCTGCATCATCATTGCCTATCTGTCACGGGTGGAAAAGCAAAAGCATCTCATCACTCAGAAAAAACTAAAGTGAAATAAGAAAGGGATTACAATATAACCCTACTGAATATTCGAAGTAATGATGTATTCACATTCATAACGCAACCTCTCATTTTTAAATTATATCAACTCTGTCATGTTTTCTGCTTGTTTAGATCAAGCATCTAGGTGTAATACAACACAGAAAAATTATGAAGAATGGTCTAGAAATACTATCAATGATGCCATTATGAAAATGGCATGATAGGTTTATATTTGTGATAGCAGGTTGTTTATTCGACATTTGAAAATAATAAGAAATGATAGTAATGGATAATAATTTTATCCTTGGTGAAAAACAATTGCTGAGACAGTGGGAGAAATGATTAAAAGAACAGAAAAAGCAATCTTAAAACTAAGGAGTCCAGAAATCGTTAAATGATGCTTAAGAGTTACAAGACAGTAAAATAAATTAAAGAGGGAAGGCACATATTGGGATCATAACTTGAGGGAACTTTTTAAAGGAAGGGAGGTAAAAGTTCAATAATAGAAAAATTACTAGTCGGGCTCAGTGGCTCAGCCTGTAATCCCGCACCTTTTGGAGGCTGAGGTGAGTGGATTGCCTGAGCCCACGGGTTTGAGACCCGCCTGGGCAACTTGGCAAGACCTCATCTCTAC